CCTCAAGACAGTGAACAAAAATCCTGCGATTTAGCTTGTACTTCTTTAATGCGTCGCCTTGAAAAGAACCCGCGAAAGCAATAAAACGGCAAAACCACCCGAAGTGAATTCATCGACAGAACTTTACTCGAAGTTCCTCATGAGATTTTGCCTTTTAGTCTATTTGATAGCGGAAAAGAGGACAACAAGAAATTTATCTCTCTCGAGGACATGGAATATACAAATGCTCACTGCATCCTTACCATATTTTGGCTTTGGGCCAGAGTTTTTAAGATATTCCCATTTCAATTTTTACAAAGTTACACAATACATGTCCATTTTGTCGCTTTTTAACAGCCCTGCGTTTACGTTTTGCAGCAACAAAAAAATCTAACCTGCAACAGGTTTTCTTGAGGCCCTGATTAGCCTTATCGCAGACGTCGTAGTCAAAAAATTCTCATTGACTTTGAACAAACCGCTTTGATTTTTTGTCCATGTTTAAAACTGAAAACGAAGGTAACATTTTTTATTTATGCAAATGTATCCAGAGCAAAATTTCTCAGACAAAAAGGTCTAGGAGTGCTACGCAAAGCGTGCCTGAGCCTCAGACACGATCTCAATCATAGTATCTTTCCTGTCTCAGATGTCGAGTCTTAGTTTTTTCTAATCGTCGGCAAAAATTGCGGATCTGTTGATTAGTTTGACATTCCAACTGATACCCTCAACAAGTTTTACGAACTCGCAGCATATTTTTAAAACGTTTTCAAAAGAGGAGAAACAATTTGTCAACAACAGCGTGATCTTTTGTGCCCCCAAGCTCTCTGAAGTCATTACTACAACCACTAACCGAACCCGTAAAATTAACGGGTATATAAAGAAAAGTCCGGATTATATCTACAACTAGTCCTACAAAAACTCAAATGTAGTATGTTATGTTCAAGCTCTGGTTCCTTTGACACCCTCCTTGATTTGAATTTATCAGTTTTTTGCTGTAGTTTTCTTAAATTGTTGGCTTTTTGAAGCTTTTCAAATAATTTTCAGAAATAACAAAGCTGAACTTTCAAAAGTAGCCAGTGTAGAGGAGCCATTTGTTCAGAGGTGATAAAAGCCAAAGCTACAAAACTTTTGACTTTTCCGTCAATCGCCCCATACCGTTTGCCCAGTATAGGGGGTTTGGAATTAGAGGGAAAATTTCATAGAGTCACATTCTATAAGCATAACACCATGTGAAATTGGACAATCATATCTTTTTGCTTTGATAGTTCAAAATTAGTGGACCAAAATTATGCGTTGAAATTTTCAGGCTTCCAACTGAATTTGATTTCACATCGGTTTTCAAAAAATAGCATTGCTTGGATCAGTTTGCTCAAATGAAGCATCTTGGTTCTGATTTTTCGATTAACCTATTGCGATTATTTAAGTGTTTTGGTTCCTCATATGGGATATGTCAATTTGCCTGAGCTATTCCCTCCGATGCTATTCTGTCTGCTGGGTTATTTTAAGTGGAATACTTTGCGTGCGATACGGAAGTATAAGACATTTTGTCAAGAAACCGTGTCGTGAAACTCTAATATCAAAAAGATACTCTCTGAAAATTTGCACAAATGCTCAAGTGCTTTGAAAGTCATGTAAAAGATAGAAATTTTAGAAAGTGATAGCATTAACGACAATGCTTTTTGTATCAGGTTGAAGCGGATGCCTTATTGGAGTTTTTTTTATTCGTGTGTGAGCAAAGTGACCTCGAACTGCATTCTTACTGAAATTTTCGCAAAAAATTACGGTTTACTCTTTTCTAGTACATCAAATGAGTGAAAGTAACGTTAGGTTTTCCCCCCGAAAAATGATGTTTTATATGTGAATGTAGATACTGATCAGCTTAAAATTGAAAATTGAAAAGTTCTTTATACAGCTGGTACAGATGTTACAAAATGGTCTTTTTCCTTCCTATGGAAACGAAACATCATTATTTTTGTGGAAGAAATCCTCCCGTTACTCTGATTCATTTGAGGTACTAAAAAGGAACATTTCAAAAAAATTGAAACAGAAGTTTTTTAGCTAGGAAAAAACTCTGTAAAAAAAAAAGAATTTAAGGTCATTTTGCTCAACCATGAATCAAAAAAGAACTCCAATAAGTCATCTGCTTCGCCAAATGGTAAAACAAAAAGTATTGTAATTTTTTCTTTCATTTCAATAGCCTTGAAACATTTACGAAGTTTTTGCTTCAAATTGAAATTTCTTACTCATGAAGTTTCTGCTCTACGATTTATACAAAATATTTATACCATTCAATTCATTGACAACGATCATGTTTTTTTTCCAAAATGAACTCATTTCTCTCATTAACATATGATTTTCAAACTCGAGCTATAGTCGATTGTTTGATTGTAGAGTCAAAATTAATGGTCTGCAAATTCATCAAAAAACGATAATTTTTATTTTGTAATCTCCGTATTGACAACTACTCATTTGAAAATTAGCGAATAATCTTTTATCTGTGAAAAATTGACCTAATAAGTAATTAATCTTAAAATCATCAAAACAAAAGAGAAACTAATTGCGAGTAAAAACTCTTCATTTTCTAAAGAAATGATTCCGTAGAGCTTGTTCAGGCGACGTTCAATTCCAGGCATGTTTATACAACTCATTCAAACAGTGACTTTCAGACTTTGTTCGTTGTCTTTAAAGTTTTTTCACATCGTACACTTCCACGGGTAGCGATGCTCCTGATTCAATTCGTGAGGTGATGGTCGGTTGAGAAGTTTGGTTCAAGCCCATATTCTGATCTCTATTTGAGTACCCCTCAATTGAATCGATATCGGATTTTTCGTCCTCATTCGAAAACGTAGGCTGCTCATTGGTCAAAGACTCCTAAATCAATTCGACTTTTGTTGAAAGTTTCCTAATATCGTTTAATTAATTAAAGTCTTTGCAATAACTTTTTCGATCTACTACAAACAGCTCATTTTGATGCCGTTAACCACTTGTTTACTTACCAAAATTTTAGCAAGGATAGCCTGTAACTCTGCGACTAGCACAGAATGTCCCGACCACTGTAATCCAAGTGGAGCGATTTCAAATATAAAAAGTAATCTGACGTTTTCTGTTTTGCGTTCAGGTAGTGTTAGGGGGAGGAACTTATGTTGAACTGCAAAAGTGAGGCGAATATAGATATAAGCTTACGTAGAAACAATTGCATAAGAAATTCGCCAGGTAAGCATTTCAACCAGTCTTATTTTATGAAAATTTGCCAGTAAAATGAACTAACTCTCGACCCTGAGAAATTTTTTCCCAATTAATTTTACGATAAAAGACCTATTAACCCCAATCAAAACCATTAGAGCTTGAAAATATAATCACATTTGACCCCCTACGCGTTTTCTTTGAGGTGCCTAAAATCGCAGAGTTTTTGGAAGAACAAAATACTAATCAACTTGATACGCACCATTTTTTGAACGTATAGGGCATCAAAATCACCGATAATGTCTGCTGAAGTTTACTTTGAAGTCATACCGAAGTCGCTTTTAGAAAAATTTAGGACTGGTCTACTTGTTAACAAGGAGCACAACAATGATTTTCCGTGAAAAACCGAACAGCTCGTATTTTAGTCTTACTCGCCGATTACATCGTCTTAATCATTATTTATCTGAAAACCAATGTTTTTGCTAGTGGGTGTAAAATAAAACATCGATTATTTGTTTCGAAATGTATCTTTCACTGACTGAGAGGTCAATTAAGTTTGAAAAACTGGTCTCAATTCTGACTAACTTGGCTGTGTTCTGGAGCTTTTTTCTGTTCCTGAACCTCTTCGTTTCTCCTCGCCTTCTGTTCCACTTCGTCATCCAATAGAAATCGAACGTGCGATTGTTGCTTTGTAAATCCCTGTCGAGGGGAAGTTGTTTGTTGGCTCTCGGCTGCTTCGTCATTCATTGATTTCGGAACTTGTTTTGATTCTAGAAAGTTTAGTTTTGAATAAGTTTTATATACGACATCTGAACAATTTAGGGTAACCGGTTGCTTATTTAGCACAACCATTCCGAACTAACCATTGGAAAGAAAGCGTTTCAATCAGTTATTTACTTTTTGGTCGTATTCGGGGTAGAGAGAAGGGGTTGACCAAAAACTAGGGTTAGACCGGAAGTTATAAGCCCTTGGGAAAAAATCTTAGATCGTAAATAGGCAACTTAAACAGAATAAGGAGCGAGGGCATATTGATCTTATGGCGGCATTAGACTATAAAACCCAGCATCAAACAAATACCTCTGCTGACCGATTTTCTCCGACGACTCCTTCCGGTGTTAATAGCTTTTTCCAGTGAATAGTGATAATTGAAATTAGAAATATGATAACTTGGGAAATATCAAACGGATATGAATGGAACGCTGTAGGTAGGACCCCCTTGGGAATCTGAATCCAAATGAAAAATATTGACCACGAGTGACCCCATGGTGACTTTTGAATGATCATTGGGCGTTTAGGACCTAAGCTTATTAGAAAAAATCAAGATTCGTTTTCCCCAGCCTCAAACCTTTGGAAATGAGGATCTGTCACCCTTGTTTTAACTGGAGGAAACTTATCTGTTGGGAATTGAAGCGAAAGCTGGATAGGATAAAGATTTTATTTTGTAACATTGAAGTAGTAGAACTAAACTAAGTGGACTTGGCTTCAGCTTAGCTTGGCAAATTAGCTATAAATTGAAAATCTATCAGAGTAAAGAAAAGTGGTCCCAGAGAGAAATGGCAGTAAAAGGAGCTTGGCATGGGAAATGGGTCTTCTAAGTTACTTGAATTTACTCACGCTAATTTTTTGCTCATTGTATCTAAAGAACAACAGCTTTGTTGTCAGCCTCGCGAAGTTGATGCAGTTAGAGGCGCTTAATTGCCTTCAGACCAGGGGCGGATTTGGGTGGGAGCGGGGGGCGAACGCCGCTTTTCAGGGATTTGGCCCCCTGCCGACCCGAAAGGTCCCCCCTTTGCACTAATTCGAGATATTCAGTTTTGGTGACGGACTCTAAAAATTTTTTAAGGACGCCTTCGGCACCAATATATGCTAATTTGAGGGAAGAGCGCGCGCCAAAAAAAAATGTTTTTTTTTACTAAGTTTAAAAACGCTTTTTTGCCTGATTCTTCAAAGTTTCGCCTGCGGCGCAAAAGTTTTGTCGAAAACAGGTATTTTTTAGTGCTTCAGGAGAGCTCAAAAATTTATTTGCTCGACTTCAAAAAGAAAACAAAATCCGATAAAATTTTCCAAACTTTTTTTAAAATCCGCTTCCCCCTCGAGAAAATCCTAGATCTGCCCCTGGTCGTCACCGTAGAATTCAGTTAGGTTCTTGCGGAGGAGGTAACAGATAATTGTCAGGACTTGTAGGGATGATCATAACCATCCCTACAAGTAGAAACTCAAATAGACAAACATGGCAAAAGTATTACGGGAAGCTTATCCTTAGCTTACACACTTCTTGCGAATTTGGTTGATAGTTGGTATTCAGTTAGTTAGAGAACAGGAATTGCTATTGATTCAAAAAGTGGGTTATCAAATAGAAAGAACAAAATCTCAGAAAGCTGGAGGGGAAATGTCAAGGTGACTGCCTTTTTGTCTCAGTGATTGATTTTGCGAGATAGTGAATTGTAGAGACCCGAGGTTAGATTCCGGTAGTTAACATTGGAAAAAAGTAGGAGTGATCAATTGTTAGTTGATTAGTTAAGTTGGTTAAATCCGAGTTTAGTACCGGGTTGAGCTAGCTGCGTGAGCAATTTGCGCTGATGGAGTTGGCTATTTTGGAATTGAGCCAAGTGAAAACAGACGAGTGAGTTAACTAAGCGATTGAACGAAAGTAACGCGGGCTTTGTTATAAAAGTAGTCAATAGTAGTTAGCTCATAAAGGGCTCTGTAAACTACCATCATTTTTTTCGCGAGTGAAGAAAAAATAACTGGTTTTGACCCACGATGTGCTAAACTAGCTAAAAACGAAAGAGGAGAGCCGAAAAGAGCACAGATCAAGCAGGAAATTGCGCAGTCCTTTGATCGGCCGATTTAGTCTGACCACCAACATAACCCTTTCGGGATTGCAGAACACCTGTCATTAGTGTCCTCTGCTTTTACAAAGTGAAATTCTACAGGTCCACTAAAAACGTTGTAGGTAGGATCTCCTTGGGAATCTGAATCCAAATAAAAAAATTGACCCGGTTGACCCCGTGGTGACGTTTGAATGATCTTTGGGCGTTTAGGACCTAAGTTTATTAGAAAAATTCAGGATAGTTTTTCCGCAGCCTCAAACCTTTGGAAATGAGGATCTGTCACCCTTGTATTAACTGGAGGAAACTTATCTGTTGGGAATTGAAGCGAAAGCTGAATAGGATATAGATTTTATTTTGTAACACTGAAGTAGTAGAACTAAACTAAGTGGACTTGGAAAAACTTGGCTTCAGCTTAGCTTGGCAAATTAGCCATCAACAGAAACTCAATCAGAGCAAAGAAAAGTATTCCCAGAGAAAAATAGCAGAAAAATGAGCAAGGCATGGGAAATGGGTCTCCTAAATTACTTGAATTTACTTATGCTAATTTTTTGCTCATTGTATCTAAAGAACAACAGCTTTTTTGTCAGCCTCGCGAAGTTGATGCAGTTAGAGGCGCTTAATTGCCTTCAGACCAGGGGCGGATTTGGGTGGGAGGTAATTGATCTTATGGCGGCATTAGACTATAAAACCCAGCATCAAACAAATACCTCTGCTGACCGATTTTCTCCGACGACTCCTTCCGGTGTTAATAGCTTTTTCCAGTGAATAGTGATAATTGAAATTAGAAATATGATAACTTGGGAAATATCAAACGGATATGAATGGAACGCTGTAGGTAGGACCCCCTTGGGAATCTGAATCCAAATGAAAAATATTGACCACGAGTGACCCCATGGTGACTTTTGAATGATCATTGGGCGTTTAGGACCTAAGCTTATTAGAAAAAATCAAGATTCGTTTTCCCCAGCCTCAAACCTTTGGAAATGAGGATCTGTCACCCTTGTTTTAACTGGAGGAAACTTATCTGTTGGGAATTGAAGCGAAAGCTGGATAGGATAAAGATTTTATTTTGTAACATTGAAGTAGTAGAACTAAACTAAGTGGACTTGGCTTCAGCTTAGCTTGGCAAATTAGCTATAAATTGAAAATCTATCAGAGTAAAGAAAAGTGGTCCCAGAGAGAAATGGCAGTAAAAGGAGCTTGGCATGGGAAATGGGTCTTCTAAGTTACTTGAATTTACTCACGCTAATTTTTTGCTCATTGTATCTAAAGAACAACAGCTTTGTTGTCAGCCTCGCGAAGTTGATGCAGTTAGAGGCGCTTAATTGCCTTCAGACCAGGGGCGGATTTGGGTGGGAGCGGGGGGCGGACGCCGCTTTTCAGGGATTTGGCCCCCTGCCGACCCGAAAGGTCCCCCCTTTGCACTAATTCGAGATATTCAGTTTTGGTGACGGACTCTAAAAATTTTTTAAGGACGCCTTCGGCACCAATATATGCTAATTTGAGGGAAGAGCGCGCGCCAAAAAAAAATGTTTTTTTTTACTAAGTTTAAAAACGCTTTTTTGCCTGATTCTTCAAAGTTTCGCCTGCGGCGCAAAAGTTTTGTCGAAAACAGGTATTTTTTAGTGCTTCAGGAGAGCTCAAAAATTTATTTGCTCGACTTCAAAAAGAAAACAAAATCCGATAAAATTTTCCAAACTTTTTTTAAAATCCGCTTCCCCCTCGAGAAAATCCTAGATCTGCCCCTGGTCGTCACCGTAGAATTCAGTTAGGTTCTTGCGGAGGAGGTAACAGATAATTGTCAGGACTTGTAGGGATGATCATAACCATCCCTACAAGTAGAAACTCAAATAGACAAACATGGCAAAAGTATTACGGGAAGCTTATCCTTAGCTTACACACTTCTTGCGAATTTGGTTGATAGTTGGTATTCAGTTAGTTAGAGAACAGGAATTGCTATTGATTCAAAAAGTGGGTTATCAAATAGAAAGAACAAAATCTCAGAAAGCTGGAGGGGAAATGTCAAGGTGACTGCCTTTTTGTCTCAGTGATTGATTTTGCGAGATAGTGAATTGGAGAGACCCGAGGTTAGATTCCGGTAGTTAACATTGGAAAAAAGTAGGAGTGATCAATTGTTAGTTGATTAGTTAAGTTGGTTAAATCCGAGTTTAGTACCGGGTTGAGCTAGCTGCGTGAGCAATTTGCGCTGATGGAGTTGGCTATTTTGGAATTGAGCCAAGTGAAAACAGACGAGTGAGTTAACTAAGCGATTGAACGAAAGTAACGCGGGCTTTGTTATAAAAGTAGTCAATAAAAGGCAGCTCATTAAGGGCTTTGTAAATTACAAAAAAAATTTTCGCGATTGAAGAAGAGCTTACTTGTTTTGCCCCACGATGTGCTAAACTAGCTAAAAACGCAAGAGGAGAGCCGGAAAGAGAACAGATCAAGCGGGAAATCGCGCAATCCTTTGATCGGCCGATTTAGTCTGACCACCAACATAACCCTTCCGGGATTGTAGAACACCTAGCATTAGTGTCCTTTGCTATTACAAAGTGAAATTCTACAGGTCCGCTACAAATGGATGTTGTTAAAAAGCACCAACGGGGGATCTTTCAAAAACGTTTAACCGCCAGAAAAGACGGGAGACTGCCTTCTTCTTGGGACAGCAATAAATAATGTTTTGTATTAGATATGAGCAGTTTTTTTAAAAGATACCAACGGGCAGATGCTAAGTAGATCCCTTTAGTGGCTCTATTTGGATCAAAACAATCAAAACAAAGACTTTGGATGGATTTTTCATGCTGTTCCCGATGAAGTTTTTTGAACTCATTTTCGAACATATACTTCAACGGCTGTCATTTAAAAATCGAAAAGATTGTTCGTACCAAAGCAAAATTTTGAGTATTTTAACAGCGCTTTGTGGGCTTTGAACTTTT